CAGTGACTTTCAAAAACATTTTCATTAAACTGGATTAAATTTAGTCCCTATATCAAAAACTACTTTTGTAGTTGGGAGACTTAGTGGTACCCCGACTCAATTATTTACATACCGCCGATAGTTGGAATTTCGTGATTGCAGCGTTAAACAAACAAACAAACAAACAAACAAAAACATCACTGGTCAGCTGCCCTAAGAGTCATGCGTGCTGTTTCACAGCGTGTACATAATTTTCGGCCAAGGTTTTCCAAGACGTTGTTTGAATATTAGAAACAACGATCGCTAATATTTTACGTTTGACGGATGTTTTTGCAACCTTTCACGAAAATCTGTTTAACCACACTGTAGAAAACGTTCTGTCAACGTCTGTCACGTGACCACGTATTTGAAATCTCTCTCTAACGTTTCACAAACACTGTTCTTATAAACAAACATTCACAAAAAACACACACGTGTAAACGTTTATAGCGTAACGCCTTCTTGTGAAACGTTAGATATTCGTTTTATAGACGTTATCACTGCAAGTTAGGTGATCCATCACGTGACTAAGTAACGGCGCCCAGGTTCAATTACATACGAAATTAAAATACCCCTGTAGGGTGTGCGTAATAATATGCTTAATTATTATGGTTATACTTACTGAGTTGAACGTGGCTTGGAAGTGAAATTGAAGATTAGATAGCAACACCAACTATCGTTTGAAGTGTACACTGGTGTATCACGGCAACATCTGTACTTGATTTAACGCCAGATTCAAAAAATAATATATCAAGTTTCTGTTACATTTCCGACAATTTCAAATAAATTGATTACACTATTCACAGGAAAAATCTGTAGATTTCACATTAATAACCAGGCTCTGACATGGAAATACAATATTGGAGAAATATAAACGAGTATATATTACAAACCACAGCTGGCTTAGATTTTGAAATGATAATGAAAAAACGTAATAACGCATTTTACTCGACATTACCATTGTAAATATAACAGAATGCTGTATATTGTTATTAGGTAGAAAAGAGGTAGTGAGCTGAATTAATGTGCACGTATTTGTTTGTGTGTGTGGGGGGGGAGGGGTTTGTGGGGGGGGGGGGGGGGGGGGTCAGTGCTAGGTCAGTGACTGCAAGTGATGTGTTACTGCTCGGTATCTGTTTAGTGAGTGAGTGAGTTTGATTTTAGCCGTCTTTAGCAATATCCCAGCAATATCACGGCGGGGGACACCAGAAATGGGCTTCACACATTGTACCTATGTCGGGAATAGAACCCGGGTCTTCGGCGTGACGAGCATACGCTTCAACCACTAGGCTACCCGACCGCCCCCGTACCTGTTGAAATTCCCCATAGAGTAGGTCTCATGTATCCAATCCTGGGTTTTCCCGTGGGGATTTTCGGGGTAGAATAGGTACAAGTATTCCATCCATATACGTGGCTCCCCTTGGGAATTACGGAGTAAATTATAACCCAAGTACCCCAACTCGTGGATGCCAATTAGAGGCGACTAAATGGATCGGGTGATCAGGATCGTTGACTTGGTTGATTTCGCGTCATCGTCTCCCAGTTGCTTTGATCGATACCCATACTGTCTCCATTGTAACAGACCGCCTTTCTGTAGCGGGACTATTGCTGAACAACACAAAATAGGCCCCCCCAAACACCAAGCAAGTCTACCGTTTCTTGTTGTAAGGTTCGTATATATTGGGGATCAGATGGTTACAATGGCCGGCGTGGTTGAGTGAATGTCATCGCACCCCGGCAGTGCATGCTGGTCGTACTATCAACCACAGCTTGAAATATTGTTGTTGTGCAGTTGTCATGGGGAAAGGGACACAACTCTGAGATGGTTTTTTTTTTTATAACATTTGTAGGTAACTTGTTTGTAACACTGAATGTGACCTGAAATGTGAATAAATGGGTCATCGCACCCCTCATACAGAAATGCTGCACTGTTCACTGCACTTGATGTATGTCTTATCCAATCCCAACGCTTAGAGTAATAGTCCCTTACAACCACATTCCTAAGCAATTGTTTAGTCCCAAACCTACCCGCCTACTTTACCACGCTTGAACAATTCTGTTAACGGCCACGACAGGGATTCTGGAAGACCCGTGTGAATTCCTCCCTTGACTCATATAGACCAAACAAACATGTTTACTTTCATAGTTGCGGTTTACAATCACGAATCGCAAAACGACAAACAACGTTACAGCCACATCAGGTAAGGGCTCAATCACACATTCAGGATTTTTACTGCCGTCCTTGATAGGACCATTCCCGATTAAAATTTGTCAAGTCTGATCAAGATCCTGTGATTCGTGGCGGGAAATTCACAAACAATCAGATAGTGTTCAGGAAGCGTCCCGACTGAGCCGTTTCCAGCCGAATTTGTCCCGATTCTCCCGTTCTCAAATCCGAATCTGATCCGATTTGTATCTTCCGCATGGTAAAAAACGACCGAATCTCTCCCGAAAGCGTCCCGATTCTCCCGAATGCGACCCGACAGAGACCAGACAATGACCGGACAGTGAACCGACAAAGACGGTTCGCATTCGGCAAGATCTGGGCGCAATCTGGACTATATCGACAAGAAACAGCAATGAACAATTCATGCCCGTTCATCACGACAGCGTTCCGATCCACAGGACACCGTCCAGACAAGACAGGACATTGTTACGATTTTGATCCGATACAACAGAATCTGTCACGACATAGTCACGATTGTAAGCCCACTAGACTACATCGGCTGAGTTTCCCGAATGTTACGGGACGCACCATACTGTCGAGAGTGCTTGGCCGACCTGGACCTTTCCCGATCCGTAGGACGAACGTATACGACTGCGTTCAGACAATGATAGTACATTCCAGATCATTGAGGATAGTAATCCGACTTTTACACTTTTCGTGTCGTAGCGCTGTCTGATCTCAAACGGGAGCCATAATCGGCACTCTGTGAACCTGGCCTAAAGATAACCATTTCCTGGGATTACTTGAAACAAATGTGAATTGTGTTACAAACTGAGCTATTACTCATTCAGTACTCGACTGCCAGATAAGAGTGAACTAAGCGTGAAGTTTTATGTTAAAATATCTAATTATTTATTCCTTCGGTTCCGAGATATATCCCAAAGTCCGAAAAACGTGAATGTCAACCGTGAACATTATTAAACAGACTGTTTCGTCGATCCAATACTATCATGATTTAGAGGGCAGATATCGAGTATTTCACGTCGACTGTTTGTCCACTCAATTCCTATTTTGGATATGGTGGAGAAATTGTTCGTACAATGCGAAATGTGACGAGCTGTAAGTTGTTGACTACACCTGTACATCATCCAAGGAGAGTTCATTTTTGCAGAACTGTCACTACAACACCCACAACCCACCCCACCACCACCCACACACTCACACGCTTACACACGCACACACGTACGCACACTTACACACCAACACTACTCTCAAACATATGACATCACGATGTTTAACGGTCATCGTAAAATGAAATCCCCCTGATATCGTAGACCGTCATCGCCTCAGCTAGCTTGTACCACTCGCACGCAACACGGATTGCTGAACAACTTGACAAGAATTTTGGTAACACCTTTTCACTTCCATACACAATGTAACAGCTTAAAGGACGTCATGTTAGCTAAAGCAGCTCTCTCAGATAAGAGAAGGCATGTATTAAATAGATGTACACAACTCAACAGTGTAAACTAGCACAACATGCCTGTGCTGCTGGGCTAATATATCAGTACAGCTCCACCTAAAACTGACACAGTTATAGGGACAAAATACTGTCGAGTCGGTGTTAACATATGACAATATAACTGTTCTCAATACAAGATCAACACAAAACGGGTTTAATGCATGATAAGCTATGATCCAAATTAATTAGTTGCACTGAAACCGGTTTCTACTCTACGATACGTACCATCAGGATCAAGTAATAAGGACAGTCAACACCAGTGCAACTTCAACCACGGTTTTCGTCTATATCCGGGGGTTGCAGCTAACGGAACACTCCTGCAGCTCTACAATGATTCTACAATGTGTGGCCCTGTTACATGGTATGTTTCAGCTGTGTGCTCGCTAGCCCGGGAACGCGTGTGGGTCGCAGCAACCCTCACCGTGAACCGTGTGTATGTGTGTGAAGATTTGAGTCCCTGGGAGGATTCTGTCGCCACATTCATCGTCATAGCCGAGAGTATGGGAAAAGGTTACATCTAGAGTTTGAGCAGACGAAAATGCAAATTCCTGGTAATGTAGAATGTAGGGAAGTATTTATTTTATCGAATTGTAACAGGGTCACTCTTACACGGATTTGATATCTGCAAGGCCATCTGCAGACAGACATATATAAATCCGGACGATGTCTCTTGGAATGATGGGGCTAAACTATAGACGTGGAAAATATACGCTGTTACAGAGGACGTCAACCTCTGGACGTGTGTGTGTGTGTGTGTGTGTGTGTGTGTGTGTGTGTGTGTGTGTGTGTGTGTGTGTGTGTGTGTGTGTGTGTGAATGTGAGTGTGTGTGTATGTGTTTGTGTGAGAGTGTGTATGTGTGAGTGTGTGTGTGTGAGTGAGTGAGTGTGTGTGTGTGTGTGAGTGTGTGTATGTGTGAGTGTGTGTGTGAGTGAGTGAGTGAGTGTGTGTGAGTGTGTGTGTGAGTGAGTGAGTGAGTGTGTGTGTGAGTGTGTATGTGAGATTTGTTTTAAACAAGGATTCTGTTTTATAAAGGTTTTGCTACGGCTCTATTACTAATATATTATAACTTGGGTATTGTGTGAAAACTATGACAGGACACAGGTCTTGGCTCATACACGATAAGATCTTTTGATATATCCCAATATCGAGTGAGCTTATGGTCATGTGTCTCCCATCTAACGGTATTTGGACTACTTTCCAAATATTTAACTACGGTTAATTATTCAGAGAAACGTTTACTCCCACACTAGGATAAACTCTATCCATGCTTATACACATAAACATTCACTTACCTTGCTATCGATCCTTGAATGTACAAGTTAAAATCTACCCGTATCAACTCCAAGGGTCAGAGTTCAAGAGCAATGGACAGGTCTTTACAAGTCCGACGACGAGACTAACCACGTGGAAAAGGGGGTTGTCCCTCCAATATGTCAACATGCCCTGTCGTAACCCATATGTGCTCAGTGTACAACAATCAGGGCCTGTGGACGCACACAATGATTTGCAGACCGTACATTTGACTGCTGACCCCCGAAAATCAAGTAGCTGAAGATTGTGAATATCAAGAGTGTGGCGTTGTGTGGAGTGATAACGACACGTCATATGTCAAACAAGCGGGGATGGTAGATATTTATCTATTGTTTATCTCCATCTAGTATATATAGAGTTAAATCTATCAGTCTCTCTGTACCGATCTAAGAAATATTACCTACTACTAGCACATCTTATTAGCTACTGTGAGCTGCTAGTAGCAGTTACAAAGGCTGCCTTTCTGCGCCTGGAGGCGAACATTTACTGCTACTGCAGGCTACTAGCAAAGTAGCATGTCTTTGATTTTCATTGGTTAACGAGACAACGTAGACCGTATGCAAGCCGAGCTCTGTCTCTACTGAAAAATCACAGATCATCGCAGATCAACTACAGCCTTTAACCAGTGAGGAAGAACGTTAACCATCTTTCGCTTATATATAGAAGTAAACTTGAAATAAACAACAATATACTGTGGTTGGTAGATTATAACAAATAATTAAAATAAACATAACCTCCTGGTCACATGACCTCGTCATACATCATCCGCGGCCGCCATGTTGTGTCAGGTCACGTCATTTCTACTACTCAGCCTAGGTATAGTTAACTGTGTCTGTTCTCTAACTAAAGCACAGCATGTGTGTTTTACTTACAATAAAGGGGCGGTGGGGGTAGCCTAGTAGTTAAAGCATTTGACCGTTACGCCGAAAACCCGGGTTCGATACCCCACATGGGTACAATGTGTGAAGCCCATTTCCTGGGGCTTCCCGCTGTGATATTGCCTGAATACTGCTAAAAGCGGCGTAAAACCATACTCTCACCTACAATGAATACTCTTCAATATTCCTGCCATTTATACACATGGGTACGTAATGTTGTGCTGGTTTTCTTCTGGCATTAGGCTATATGCGCATCACTGACCTTGCATTCTTTGCGCTCCGAGAAACAGCGTCGACGTGCACAAGCAAGGTCACGCATCATTAATGTCGTTTATTCTTTAAACAAATATTGTTATCCTTTCATCATTACAGTTTGGCCTACTACCCACTGTATTTTGTCTTGGAGTTGTCGTCTGGTGTCAAACGCCCATGTTTTGAGATCTGCCATCGACGTCCAAAGACGATTGGGTCACGTTGTTACTTTTGAGTTTTCGCCCTTTTTGTTTACAGCCAAATTAGTAGTAAGTACCATTATATACCGTACTTTGTTTACATTTCAGCAGTATGCACTAGAGGGAGAAAAATTGTTCAAGTCCTAAACAATTGAAAATGCTCTAAAACACCATCACCTAGTGTCCCTGGTCGTGCTGGTGAAAGTGATTGTTTTGTAACTTCTTGTTTCCAGAAGAAGGGCTGATAGACGTCATGATAAATAATGATCACTATATGCCTAATTTAAGTTAATTACACTAGTCTACATATTCATCTGTATTGTTTATATGCAACTTCTGTGAACAGAAATAAAATTTATCCGTTTAAACCTGAATATTTAAATCTGCATAAGATTATAACTACCTACCTTATCGTCCGATAACTGAATGTCTGAAGAAAAACAACATTTGGTTGACGAATATGTCTCCATTTAACTCAACCAAATACAGTTGGGTGATGGGTGAATGTTTGAATGTTCACCGTAGCAGACACGACATCTGTCCATGAGCAAAGAAACTGAGAATCCATTATTATTGTTCAGTAAGGATAATCAGATCCCTAAAGTATAATGTCATTGTTCACACATCGTATGTCATAGTGTAGTAGCTGCCAAGTAGTGATGTTTGACAGGGTTATATCATAATTTTCTTATTCACGTTGTCTACCGGCCTGCAGTAGTTCTGTTATTTCTGAAATACTCCAAAATAAGAGTTGACTGTACAGTACCAGTACAGCTTAATTATGACTAAGAACACATGTGTTCGTTTCTTAGTGTTTGAGGGAATAAAAGCAATGGAAATAAAACCTTCTTGTCAAATAACAGTACCAGGAGATGTACCAGTATTTTGTGTCCCAAACATCAAAACCCATTCTTTGGGACAAACATCCTTCCATTGGTCTTCAGCAATCCATGCAAGATCCTTCTACTTCTCGGATCCTTTTCCAATTGGGTGGTACATTTTCTATACAAGTAGGAGAAGTGCAGTGCAAAGTTATTATTTACAGATTAAACTAAACAATGCGGCAAAGAGGGTTTGGGTGATCCTGTGCAGGCTGGTGAGGCTCATCATCGGCTCAGGGCCCTTGCCCCCTGTACACACAGCCCAGACAGCGAATGGGACTTCTCCCAGGAAACGCTGCCTAGTTAAACCCACCCAGAACGTTTCGGGGAATGTGAAAACTCCTTAACACTGCAGCCTTCTGCATTACCCAGATTGTCAGAAGGGCTGTATTCCTGGCAACAAACCGGCCGGGTACTCTCCCAATGTCAGGCAACAGATTAGAAGGTACCAAACCTAAGGCACAGAGAACAATAGGGAGTCGGACAACTTGGTACTTAGGATGATGCAAGCGTGAGATTTCGAAAGCGAGGTCCGCATATTTGCAATGTTTTTCCTGAATCTTGTCAATCACATTTTTGTCAGAATGGACAGAAAATTCAATGATACAGATGACTTCAATGGATTTATCAAAAAGGACAAGATCAGGTTTGTTGGGCAGGATAGGCCTAACGCTATATCCGAGCCTATTCCAAAGAAGTTTGTATTTATCATTTTCCATGACGGCCTCTAGATTTTCTAGGTCGTACCAAGGATGGACGTCTGTGTCAAAACCACAACTATGGTGAAGAAGGTAATAGAAGGATCGATCCACTTCATCATGTCGCTTAAGATACTGTGTTTTTGCCAAAGCTTGGCATCCACTGACACGGTGTTGGACAGTCTCATTAAAATTCATTGCATTATCCACATTTCATATTCACATTTTGATGCCAAATCACACATTGACGGTTTCGAGTGGGAAATGACTGGTCCTGAGGAGCGAACAGAATGCCTTCTGTTTCACTTTTCAGGCCAGCCGACTTCATCCAAGAAGGACTCTGTGGGGTTGCTGATCTTCTCAACTGTACTATAACTCGATGCAGTGGTCGTTCAGATAGCCTCTCCTTGAAAAACGAGTCTGGGACATTGCACTTCACTTGGTTGACACTCATTTCTGTACCGTCCAGCCGGACAGAACCATCAACAAAATCAACATTGACATTGAGATTATGTCCCACATCCTTGGTTCGTTTAAGAAAACAGTGGATTGCCTTGTTTTCATCACGAGTCTTGACATGCTTCACAAGAGGATCATTCGACAAATACATGTGTACAAAGCGCACAATACAATTCTATCATGAAAACCAACCACGTTAATCAAACCACGCCCTCAGATTAAAGTTGGTAAATATAAGCGATTTAGGAAGAGAGAGGGTGGTGCGATCTATTGTCTGACATGATATTTCGTGTGAGGGTGTCAATACCCGGAATTTCTTGTTTCGTCCAATCAATAACACCAAACGAATACGAAAGGACGGGTACATCATCAGTATTTGTGGCTTGCGAGCGATCTGCTCTGAACTCCAGATTTTCTACATTTGTCTTCTGCCAGAAGTTTGTCTCAGAAGAAGTTTACCTGAAGTCTTTCTTCATATTCACAGAAAGTATTAGATACAAGTGGAATTAACACCATGAAGAATCTCAAAAACCTCAAAGGATTTGCTTGACTTTTTGCAATCTCAGAAAGAACCAAATTCCTTTCTGTCAAAACATTTGATTTTTCAACTTTGTACACCACTATCCCACATGGCAAACTTAAGGAAAAACTTCATTCCTTGAACAATGCGGCTTTTGTTTACAAAACGTGGTGAACACAGATACAGTTACGTATCTATATTGAGAGGTTCAGGACAATTTGTGTAAAATGAAAGCAAATGCTATCTGAAGTTTACTGATAAAACAATATGTGAAATGCTGGACTTCCTCATTGATAACACCTGTGTAAAGTCTGGGGGTAAGACAATGAGGCAAGATGTAGGCATCCCGTTGGGCACCAATCGTGCTCCCCTTTTTGCGGACCGCCAATGAGACCGCCTCATCTGTTTCATATTTAGATCTATGCATAAAGAGTCAGAGTGGGAAAACGCTCTCCACAAGACTGTATGACAATAGGGATGACTTCAAATTTCCAATAGTCAACTTACCCTTTTTGTGGAGCAGTATTCCAGCAGCTCCTGCCTTTGGTGTTTAGATTTCGCAACTTTTGAGATTCAATCGAGCATGCTCTTTTTACCAAGATTTTCAAAGCGCGTCATACGACTCTTGCTCAGACGTTGTTTGATCAAGGTTACACAACATTCAAGCTTTCAAAAAGTGGAGGACATTTCCAAATTTGACGCATCAGAGACAAAAATGATGTCTGATACAATGCCCTATTTTGACTTGTACCATATGTTCCCGTGTTTTTCAGGTGAACAATTGACTTGCCTTTGCATGTGTTTGTGACGAATGCCACCGATGGGCAGAATACGCTCACTTTTTCGCGAACACTTTGAACTGTAGAGATTTCTATTGGAGATGGAAAGGGTTTTGTCGCTTTATTTATAAATTTGTTTCTAAACTTCATCTCTGAGTACCTATAGGCCTGACCAGTCGGTCAATGACTCCTCCCCGAAGTAAACTGACTGATCCTCCAACTTACTAGTACCTTGCCACGTTTCAGATGAAGACTGTTGTATTTGTCGAATCCAAAGGACATGCCAATATCATTAGAATATGATTCGACAAGGAGAATCTGTTTTTGCAGTGTGGCATTATTATAACAACTGCATTTATTTGTATTGTCTAGGCGGCAAGTGCCACATTGTCATGGGCACATCTTTAATATGTTTAGTTGTACAAATTACATGTTGTAATCATCTGATTCTCTAGTATTACAATCTGCTATTGTATTGATGATAATGATTACAGAATGTTTGTATCAATTTGCAACAGACACATGTTGCCTTATAACACAATTAATATTCCGATTAGTACGTATATCATTGCTGT